GTTAAAAAAGGAATATTAATTTGAAGGTTTTTTGAGGTTACCCATAAAAAGGATATCATTCTTACGCGTCATAATTGCAAATATGAATGGATGATCTGCATAGAATTGGGCATTTGGTGCTATGAGTGCACTCATTGGAACAATTTTCAAGCCTAAATAGATATTAGTATAAGTTATACAGTAATAGACAAAAAAATTAATTACAATAATTTCCTAAGCAAAAATTAAACATCGATTTATTAGCAAATTAAACTGATCATAGTTTTGTATTAATGCCTTAACACAAAAATAGTATCTCTTAAAACACGATGCATGTGAAAAAACTTCTATTATTATAACGCAAAACCTTCAATAAATAATAAAGCAATATATTTAAAAAAAAATTAATTTTACATATAATAGGTGCATAAATTAAAACCTAATGAACTTACCCGTTGCAGCAGCAGCTTCAGTTCCTTTTTCGTCAACGTCAATAAAAGCCTTATGTAAAACATCATTTACAACAATAGGACCATCAGATATTTCAGAAAAGTTAGCATTTGATGAAAACATTGATGAACAACCGAGCTGAAACAATTTGATAACTAATATAAGTTTTAAAACAACAAACAATATAATAGTTGAAAATATATTCTTTTTTTATTAAATTTGCAGAAATCCAGAATTTACTTTTACAATTATCAGTAGACACTTCAATAAAGAATATCTATTGGTTAACTTTAATAAATTAAAATTAAAACAAATTATTACTGACAAATTTTTGTAACCAAAATAAACATTTTAACCTTTAAAATAATAACTATTAATTTGAGTCTCACAAATAAAATTTTAAATATTTTATTAAATACAATATCATACTTTATTCAATACGTCAACCAGGTTATATTCTTGCTCGATTTTAAACTTTGGCATTTTAACGTCAACAGTATAAGTTGACATCTTTTTGGAAATCTCAAATAATTTTATTTTTGATAAGTTATTTTCTAATTTAGACAATCCATCTTTAGCATCAGGTAACAAAATCATCATTTTGTAGTCATAATTCTAAAATTAAAAACAATTTTATTTTCAAGATTCATTTGCAAGTTTTTACTTATGAATGATGAACAATACAATATAAGGCAATTCAATTGCAGACAATTCTAAATCACTATCATGATAATATTTCAAATTTTCGTTCAAGTGCATCATTTTTGTAGTTACTGATTGTCCGGCTGCCAAGTAAAATAGTTCATCCACAGCAGTATTAAAATCATCTTCCCAGTTATTTTTAAAATGTAATGCACTCGCTAATATCAAAGAGGTGTCTTTATCAATAGACCCTAAAATATATTTTAATTTATTTATTCAATACCTGAAACAAATTTTTATAAACAACATTAACAATTACCACTTGGGAAAAGATTTTTTATTTTTCCATTAGTTTTATTTTCCACCCATTGATTAATGTAACTCCGTTGGTTTTCTGGTTGACTTTTAAAATCTAACTCATCTACGGATGAATTTAAATATTTCAAGACTTTTTCTACATAACTTTGCTTTATGTTGAATGATTTTTCAACAAACATGCCAGTTGCTAATTTTACAGCGTCATTTTTTTCCTAAAAACAGTATTTTATCAAAAATATTACTCTCCAAAATAACTAAAGGTACAAAATTAACTCTATTTACTATCAAAATTCCAGAATGTCATTGAGCATAATAAGTAATAATAGAAAATTATTACACGGCATTAAAAAAAACGCTGATATGTGTTATTATAAAAGAAATGAGGTATATATATATAT